ACCCCCTCGTTCCTGTTTGTTCAAATCCTGTCTCCTCACATGCCTGTGTGCCTCCCTACATGATATGATAACCCTTTTACTATTTTGAGATTTTATTGTGTGTAGTGTGTGTGTGTGGTATGTGTGTGTGTAGTGTGTGGTGTGGTATGTGGGGGGTGTGTGGGGTGTGTGGGGTGTGTGGGGTATGTGTGGGGTGTGTGTCATGTGTGTGTGTGTGTGTGGTGTGTATGTGTGTGTGTTGACTCTCTAGAGTCTGAAGAAAGGTCAGCTGAAAGTGGGGAATCGGCCCAAATGGCTCAAGTTCAGGAGCTTAACGGTTAAGGGACCTGTTAGAGGAACCACCTTGAATAATCAGCAAATCATAGGAAGAAAAAATTAAATCCAAAGCCAAGAGTCCATCTAGAGAATTGTCGTAGGAAGGATTCAGTGAGGGCCAATACCCTGGCTGATCTGGGTGGCACAGCAAGGAGGCCTTGGAGAAGACAAGCTTATTATTTAAAGTTGTTTCCATTGTGTGTGCAGTTTGCCTGGCTCAGTGTTTACACCCCCAGACTCTTCACGACTTAGTAACTAAGGTGTACCAGGAGAGAAAGCCTGCAGATGGTTCTTGCGCCAGTGGCTTCAGAAGGAAGATTCTTTTCTTCCCAGTGTCCGGCCCACATAATCAATCTTCCTATGATTATCGACAATGCAGGAGGAGCTCTGCCTTCTACATCAAAACTAGTCTGCATCCAGGCCAGATGCCACGCTTGTAAAGCTGAGGCACGAGGATCACGGGTTAAAAGCAGCCTGGCTACATGCTGACAATGCGTCTAGCCACTCATACATTAGTCTTTACTTCCTGGGGACCCAAAGGTGAAAGTGTTCTGCGGAATTTTCATGTGCTAGGCAAAGTGAGAGTGCTTGCTTTACTGTATATTTTATGGATTGAGCTAAATTCTGAGGACCGGTATTCTGAACAAGCTGCTTCACTTTCCAGAGTGGCAAGAAATATATCAGCCCTTGTGGAGGAAGAAATTGCTCTGTTTGCCATTGCTTTCCTGAAAAGGGATCTCGGGTAAGTGATGTAAAAGTCAACAAGAAGCATATCTGGGTTTCGAACCATTGTGAATATTTAACCTTAAGTAGCCGCAGATCCTTAACATGTGTCGGTAGTCAGTAATGTTTACTTTTTACAGTGCATGTTCTTGACATTCTTGGACGGGATGCAATGAATTTAGACTATGTGTGAAGCTCAGAACACAGTCTGGGTAGCAGTGGTTCACCCTGTGTCTTACACAGCACTAGTCTCATGAAGCATCCTATGAAGAAAGGCCTTTGGTGTCACGTGGTATACTCTGTGTCGCCACCTTCAGGTTTCGATTGCATCCCAGTATTTTAAAGGCTGTGAGAAGTGTACTCCAATGTATGGAGGAAAAAACTCCTGTTTAACTTGTTTAACGTTTTAAGTTAGGGGCTGGAGAGCTGACTCAGCAGTTAAGAGCACTGGCTGCTCTTGCAGAGGACCTGGGTTTGAATCCAGCAACCATGTGATGGCTAACAGCCATTGATAACAATCTTTGGTTTTTTATTTTGTTTCATTTTGAGACAGAGTTTCCCTGTAGTCCCTGCTGGCCTGGAACTTGCTGTATAGACCAGGCTGGCCTGATCTCACAGAGATCTGCCTGCCTCAGCCTCTGGAGTACTGGGATTAAAGGTGTGTGCCACCATGCTTGGTTGAAATAATTCTTTGATTAAAAATATTCTTCTGATTTTTGTAGACATATATGGAAATGTCACTCTGTACCCCTTAAAGACATACAATTACATGTCAACTACAAAATGAAACCATACTTTAAAAATCCTCTCACACTTGCAATAAGGGTTAGGGCTGATTGTGTTTCTTAAGCTTTGGATAATTTGGGGGTCAGGTCAGTGATTTTTTTTTAATGCGTCTTCATGAATTCGGGGTACTGAAACAAAGTATCATAGAGTGGGGGTCTTAAATAAAAGAAATCTGCCTCTCACAGTTCTGGAAGCTGGGAAGGCCACCATCAAGGTCCAGCAGATGCTGTGGCTGGTGACACCCTCTTCCTGGATTGATGATGGCGTCTGTTCACTGTGTCCCTAGGGGATGGAGAGAGCTGTCTGGGGTCCTTTTACAAGGACTCTAGTCCCATCCATGAGCACGCCATGGTGATGATCCAGTTATCTCCCAGATAACCTCATCTTCTACCCCTGACACATTAGGGCTTGGGATTTCAAGTATGAATTTGGGGCATACAAACATTCAGTTCATAATGTACATATCAATACTACAGGGCTTGACATGACTCTCAGAGAGCACTCTCCAGTGGCAGTCAGTCTTTACTACAAAACATTTCCTTTCTGAGAAGGGACCCCGTAGTCCTCCCACAGAGTGCCTTTACCTTACATAGTAGGCATGTAGTGCATTTGGGGTTCTGTTTCTGAGGTGTGTAGCAGAGTTGGGGTTCTCTTATCTGTTTGATTATAGGCTGTGACCAAATGACAGCAATTCCGTTTATGTTCACACCTCACTGCCTTCAGTCCCACAACAAAGACTGCTATCAGGATTTACCTTGAGTCATATGGAATTTAACAACGGAAGCTGCAAGGAAAGAAAGTTAGGAGAAACCAGGACCTTAAGAAGTGCTCTAGCTTTTCCACATACACGGCTTACTTACCAAAGTAGAGGGGGTGCGCGGGTGCGCTACAATTACAAAAAGGAGAAAATCTCACCTTTGTACACCTCACTTTTAAGACCAACGGAGTCCACCAGCCCTGTGTGTGTGTGTGTGTGTGTGTGTGTGTGTGTGAGAGAGAGAGAGAGAGAGAGAGGGAGAGGAGAGAGAGAGAGAGAGAGAGAGAGAGAGAGAGAGAGAGAAACAGGGGATGTTATTTCAAATTTGAGAGAGAGGTGAAGCAGTTTCGATGGAGGCAGCTTGGCTGACTCGCTTGCTCAGACACAGCTCACGCTGTTTTAGCACTTGAACCAAATGTCTTTAGAAATCTCGGTCCTTCTAATTCAGAAGTTCTTAGCTGGGGGCCGTTTTGCCCCCCCCCCCCCTGTGACATTTGGCAATGTAGATACAGGTTCTAGTCATCGCAGATGGACAGAAGGGTGCTACGGTGTTTAGTGCATAGAGGCCAGCAGCTCTGTCCTGCTTCTTGCAGTGTGGAGCACAGCCTACGACAGAGACTGTTCTGTCCCCACCCCCAAGGGTGCCAGAGGTGGAGAAGCCTGTTCTCACCCAGGCTGCTCAGTGGGGTGGGTGTTATTATTTATGTTTCCATCTGACTGTGTAAGGAGCCCAAATTCCTGCAAGTTCTAATCACCTGCTGACGTGTGGCAGTGCCAGCAACCACATCCAGGTGTCTGGCATCACCTCCAGTGCTTGCTCTATGGGCATGGAAAGGTGGTTTTGCCAAGGTTCCAACACCTGCGTTTACTGTAACTTTGTAACCTCAGGTGAGCCCTTTCTGGGACCAAGTCTTGGTTTGTTTACATTTGTCCCACATCCTTCTGTTTCCTTGAGCTATTCCACAGTCAGAAGCCAGTGCTTGTGTACAGGGTGTGCTTTTCAGCCTCCAAGGCTGTCTGTGAATGGTGAGGGCTCCCGAGGCTGAGCCGTTCTCCGCTTTGTATGTGTCCCTGGATCCTGGGTGGCCAAAGGGACTGTGTGTACCCCAGCAACCTCTGTCTTTCCTGCTGGTCGGGTTCTCCTTGTGAGGGCTGCAGGCATGGATGGTATTTTCCAGCTGAGAACGTGGGAGGAGGACCACACATCCCTGGGAAGGGATGGAGGGGGAGGCACTTAGTCCTCTTGAGCTACACCAGGAGTTCCAGGTGGACCATAAAAATAAAAACACAGTAAAACACAGACCTCTAGATAGGCTGACTAGATTCACCGGATGGACAGGTACTGGAGAATGTCTGGGGGTGCCGACACCACACCAGACAGTAGCAGGGATGACAGAGTAAAAGGGCTGTAGTGGGGGGGCAGCTATGGGAGGGTGCCATCTGGGAAGTGGGATGTTCTGTGTGATATGCACACACAAAAAATCAACAAATTTAAAAAATGAGTCGTATTTGAGGAGGAAGCATAAAACTTTATGTCATGTTAAGTAGTAGAGGTGATAAACATTACCATTGAATCTACCCGATGACTTTATAGACATACACAAGTGCCAAGGATCTGAGTGTAACAGACCATGACTAGTAATAATCAGATACATACAGCTTAGAGACACAAGCGCCAACATCTGTGTTATTAGCAAAAACAATGAGTCTTTCTGTAAGAAACAGTATATTTTAAAATGAAATGGAGATCTTTTTTAAAGGTTAAAAACTCATTCAATTTTATGTCTTACAGGGTTTATACTGAGTTCAATATTGTATAACCATATTAATTCAACTGGGAACCTAAAAATTTTATAGCCACTTTTGAAAGAGATGTATCTTTGCTCTGGAAATTTCTAGCAAGTATCTTAAAGCTGTAATGAAATTCTTCTTCTAAAAAATAAAAATAAATTAAAAATTAAAAAATAAAAAAAATTAAAAAACACACTGAATTCCAAGGGTGGGAGGTGTATCTCTTTGAGGCTGCTCAGCCCATTTATGGAACAGCTGGGTATTCTTAAGAAGGAAATTTTTCCTCTCCTGTGGGCTGAGTTTGTTCAAGCCTCACATCAGAACCATTTTGTCTGAAGTGAATTTATTATTATTTATTCTTTTAAAATTTTTTAAATATTTTTTTTCATTACAGCTTTAACATATTCAGTAACACATTCCAGAGCAAGGATACATCTCTTTCAAAAGTGGCTATAAATTTTTAGGTTCAGAGTTGAATTAATATGGTTACACAATACTGAACTCAGTATAAACCCCAGGGAAGGTGCTGGTACCAGGACACTGGAGGCTGTGCAGCCCAGGAAGCAAAGGCTTGAATGGGCTTTTGAAGACAGTTATAGTGTCATTTAGGTGAAAACAGTTTGCAGAAATCAAGCAAGTTTTCTAGAAAGC